CCAAAGCCTTCTTTTGGGCTGATGTCAACCATATGGTAAGATCGGTTGGCTCGAAGGGAATAAGACGGAAAATTTTCCGACAAAACACAGCATAGTGATCTAAAAGTCGGTAAATAGTAGATGTTCAGCGAAAGCTTTCAAGAAAATCGCTGAGAGGCTAAAGGAAAGGATGGTGGTTTTGTGATTAGTGAATGAATGAATAGAGCGGGTTCAAGAACTGATAAAAATAATCAATAAAAAATAAAACAGAACTGCATTAGGTATGCTATAAAACATAACTTAGCCAGAGTTGAACGAATAAACAAGAAATAAACTAAATTGGAAAATACGATATGCCTCAAATCAAAAATCAGACAACCATTTTTATAAGTGAATTTCAATAAATTTGGAACTAGTCTTGGAATAATTGAAAGTAGCTCTAAAAATGAAAACCAAATAAAAACAAGTCCCGGAATAATAAATAATGAGAACACTGAATGATTGAAAGAAAATTTAATTTACAATTGAAGTTTGAGTATTGGTCATTTGATACCTGCTAATAAGCGTTCCCGTTCTTCTGGCAGTTCCGCGACAAGTTGATTAAATTTCGTTTCCAACTGCTCTATGGGGTCTGTGTCCAAGTACATACCACGGATAACGTTGAAATTTTCTTCTCCAATCACGTTTTTCACGTTTTTTATACAGTACTCTTGCAATCTCCTGCAAATTACTCTGAAAATTGATGAGAAGTTATTGCAGTAATTTGTTGTGACAGCAGGAATCCAGGCCAACGTTCATGGAACCCTTGAACGTACCGGGTTGCAGGGTGTAAAAAAAAAACTTAGAATTAGTAAACAGCATGATCGAAGACCGTGGACACGGCCACTCAAATAAGGCACCCCTTATCCCCGTTCATGACTCGTTGGGCTTCCCATCTCACAGTAACTTTCTGGAGCAAGCAGAAAAGGCTCATCTGGGCTGCATCAGTTTATAGGCAAGTAGTGCGAACGAAACCTGTAGGGCAGTTAGGTATTTAGGTTCTCGTTAGGTTGCCTATCAAATTGTAACGCTTTCATTTCTGTCGTTGTTCATACACTCAACGTTACTTCCTCCTCGTTACATTCTTATTTCCCAGGTTTCTTTTCACGAGCTGTTCCAGATTCCGACCAGGGAAGGGGAATTTCCTGCTTTTGAAAAATTCAAGGCACCATATAGCAATATTTATTATGTCGGACTGCTTGCACAAAGGATAACGCAGTTTGGGATATAGTACCACCACTGATAGGTAGTTCTATATCCTCAATCCTTCACTGCCGCTGTTCAAGGGTTCCATGAAATATCCCAATAACTCCAAAGACTTTTCCAATGCATTCTTTTGCTCAAATCCTTCAAAATCCCCTATCCAAAAAGAAAACTATTTCTTCACACCGGAGTTGTCATCCACTGATACAGCATGAGCTNATTCAGATCGCTGTTCTCGCAAATCGTTGATGTGATAGCGTGTTTCCCATATCTTTGCGCTTACCCACCTCTTGGCGCTTCAAGAGAACTCTACGAAACTGCATAACTTACGGTTTATACTGGTCCCGAATTTCTTTCCGTAAATGATAGAATTGGTCTCCAATTTCGTTCATCACTTCCCATTTGTTTGCTTTACCGATGATCATTTTACTGATAAGATTTTTCTGAAAATAAAAAAATGGTTCATAACTGTAGGATACAAATTAGATAAATAATACTCTATGACCAAGTAGAAGAATGAACCGTACATGTCGGGGTGTTTGCCAAGCGAGCCATTCGGGTTTCAGTTCTTCGGGATCGAGTACTTCTTCTTCATAATCATCAGGTATTACTGCAGCTGAAATACTTCAGAAGAATTATGGGTATTCTGAAGAAACTATAGATTCAACAGGATTAGCATTGTTCCTATTTCCAAAATCCTTAGCTATGGCATACTTCGTACTTCCCTGGCGACGCGTCTAGACTTATAATCAAGAAATTCGTTCATGAGTGCATTTCGTCGTGTAGATGGAAGGCCTTCAAAGTACTGATCGAGCTGAAAAAAACTACCGATCAGCTACTTTTTTCTTGATATCAGTGAATGGTAAGATTGGATAAATGTTGGTAATTAACTATATGAAGGATGAAAAGTCTGGGCATACAGAAAAAACTCGGATATTCTTGAGCTCGAATAAAAAACCCATTAGAACGCATAACAGCCACACGTAGCGGAATCCGTAAACAAAGAAANAAATTGTAAAGGATGGAGACTGAGTCACGATGGGACGCGCCACTTCTACCAAACTAGGGTCGGATCTCCCAAGAGCTGACCAAACTTCCCGTTTCTTCCACAAATTGTGCCATTAATTCTCAAGCTTGGGAAATCACAAATAGTAAACGCAAAACGACCTTCCTATGCCTACGATCAGAGCTTGGATTGTACATAGTTGTTAGCTGCTTGTACAAAAGTGGATCGAGATTGTTCAAAAAACAAAACCTCAAGTATTTGACAGATGACGACCATTTACTCCTTCTTATCAGATATCATAGATTATCAATCAATAGTGTAATTTAAACGAATTAAATGGTGCTCTGAAGACCCACTTCCATCGTACAGTAACCTAATTGCCTGCCGTGACTGCAACGGCCCCTCCTGACCGATCAGAGGCTACCTTTATTTCTCCTCATTTTTCCTTTTCGTTACTTTGCATCATTTTTAAATGATGTATTCACCTACTCTACATCATTAGTTGAGACCAGCGTAAGGCTGGAGATCAAGTTACCTTATCAGGAAGGAGACTACTTGATGGTTGGTGAGCTGCTTCGAGAACTCCACCTTCTTATTGATATTAGTTGCCCACTTTGACAAATGGAGCCAATTAATCTTTGTCCAGCATATTCTCACTAAGGTTACAGCAGCCATTTTACACAAACAAGAAAGGTCCCAATGTGATTTTAATAGTGCCCCTTCATGCGATTTTCCTGCTCTGCTTTCTCCAATCTCCCTTTTTAATTAGGATATGCTTTGTTTGAACCTTTGACTTTGTCTTAGCTCTCCTTTCTTTTTCTTCCTTCTGAGCTTTTTTGTTTTTTTTCCCTGCTGAGAGTAACGTACCCATTCATCTTTGTGACGAGCCAGAGTGGTCCAGTGTATCGCCCTCGCTTTAGGGAAACGAGGTCCAAAATTCCTCTCGTTCAGAGCATTCGGGAGATCTCAAGCCGATCTTTTCACAAGCACTGTCAAACTCGGCCACCATTCGAGATGGTCAGACTTCTTTACTCGAGCCCGCTCGAGGACGTCGATGATCAACGGGACGACAGGTGCTACAGGTGATACTTGATATCTGCTGACGTAGGACTACTGACTTAGAAGATATGCTTTTCTGTTGAATAGCACACACATCTGTCTATTTGAATAAATAGACGAACGCCTGGCTTTACATCGTCTGCCCCTGCCACAGGAGTTGGGAGGTGTAATTCACGTGACGCTTGCCACACCCGTCCGTTCAAGTACATTTCTCATTGTCTTCAATCAAAGAAAAGCTTGACCGGTCGCTCATTATCAGCAAATATCAACCAGGAAGAACCTTGGACCCGTGACGAAATGCACTGATATGACCCACAGATAATGTTTACAGAACGGTAAGGCTAAAGATGGAAGACATCCGAGGAAGAACGACAACCATCAGAAATCTTCAGAAAATACTAGGAATGCTTAGCATTCACATATGTGTGAAGAAGAACGTTGAAACAGTTGATACTTCTGATATCAAACATTTTTGAGCTCATAATTGGTAAGTGAAATGCTGAAAAAAGAAATGCTCCTTTGCGCTTCTATTGTAGTGCCGGCAATACATACTACCTGGTGACCCTTCATCCTATCAGCAAACACTAAAATCGTAAAAAGGATTTACCCAAAGGCACCTTTTTCCGAAGTCACATCGTCATTTCCCATGAATTTTTGTTTTCATATATATGTACAACTGTTTGTGGGAAATCAGTAAGTTCAGTTGAAGGAAATCGTCCCACTCCTTTTTAGGCAAAATATTAAAACTATTGGGGAGCGATCTGACAGAAATGCACTTCTAGATCAGCACGCAGCATCGCTGAAAAGTGAAATGTTCAAAACAAAGAACAGCACGTTTGAGAGGCAGAATGTACAACGGTACGGGAGCACCAATGTCCCGCTACTGTTTTGCTTGTAATTTGCGAATATGCACCTCGGCACAATGTCATACTACCTTCTCGTAGCTCAGTGACCTCGTTGGCACCTCTTGACCCATACCTATTATATCCTGTGGAAAACATGATGAAATACTAAGAGAGGGAAGGGCGCCACTCATAGGCAAATGAAGCGCTCGTTTCTTTGTAAAAATGGTTCATAGAGAAATAGTTTTTTGGCATAATCAGTAACTGTTAGATATAAATACATATATAAAAAAGAGTTAGCAGATTACTGAAAAATGTCGAAAACAAAAAAGGACGGATGAGGAACCATTCATGTATGAACTGTAAGACCCACCGCTTCTTCAACTGCATCGCTGTCACCGTACTCGTGCATATGCTGTAATTCCTGAATTTGGCTACTACTCAGGAATGCGTTGAGGCCAGCTTTTGTTTCTTCGTCATGAACTTTCCTGAGATATTCTTTCATTGTGGGAACCTCATATCAGAAGAGACGATTTTGTGAAGCCTGGGAGTACCACGCAATTAGATCGGGAACGAAGAAAAATCAAACACGGTACTCATTATTCCCACTGCAGTGGTAGAGAATAGGTTTGAGGTTCCCTCTTGAATCCTTAGATTTTCGCAGTTTCTCGAATTTTTTCAGAAACTTCCCAAAATTAGGATTCACCCACAGGAGACTAGAAATCTAACTTCAGTATACTTATACGTATATGCGCCCAGAACTCCCAAACAGGCAAAATTTCGGAATCCCATATGAATGCCTAATGCCCCATTTCCAATCTTCTCCCACAAGCTTCACGAAGCTGCCGAAAGTTAGGAAACTGCAATTCTCATCGACGTAAATCACCGATTTTCCACAGCCAGAAGAAGTCGTTTATACTTTTGCAACAATGGCTGGAGACCTCCCAAGCAGTCTACGCTTTCGGGGTGCCATCGTCTGGCTATGTGATGTGCCAAATTCCTGGAATGATTTAGGCCTTGGATAGCTATTTTGAAATCTCCAAAATACGCCTGCACGGCTTAACCAACTCACCAGTAGTCTTCCACTGGAAGAGCGTTTCTTGTGGTATCTTCTCTATCCCAATCCTTTGTACACTCTCGTAGACGTGTCCGTAGGATTTCGCGGGTGTCCACTAGTTGCACTTCTAATGAGCGAGCACTTTTGACGAGTTTTTCTGAATCCTCCTAAAAATAATTCGTCAACCTCCTGAGATGATGATTAACTGCAATGAAGTCAGTTCGGGCAGCCTTTTTTCAATCCAAAAATCGTCGATTACTTCGTTGCACCCTTCACGCCCGTGCACCCCTGCACCTCACACAAATAGCGATCAACCTGTGCCGTTTTTGACATCTGATGTAGAAATCTTTAGTGACCCAATCGATAAAAGTAAAATAAAAATAAATAAAGTGAAAAGTCATGTTGCGCAATAATAATAATAATAATAATAATAATAATAATAATAATAATAATAACAGCAGTAACATCCTGTTTACTGCTTGAATTTCTAAACTGAACTGGTTTCATATAATACTTACAGCATCATACTTAAAATGAACCCAAAATTAGGACTGGGCATAAACCAATCTGATTTGTAAAAGACAGACTCCAGAAGGCATAGACACCCCACCAAAACCCACGAACACCATAAGACCGGGACCCATGTATTGACTTCGTGTTTTCATTGTCAGATAACTAGCCCCACACGGAGTTTCTTCGGATTTTTCTCCACCAACATGTCATACTGTGGGGTTCTAATTTGCCTCTATACTAACTACGCGTATCTGGCTTATCGGGTCTAATGTAGCCAATTAAGCTCAACGGACATTTCTGAGCCTCATTTTCATTGTAGGACCGAACATCCCATAGAGGGAGATCTAACATGTATCTAAAGAATGATTCAAGAATAGAAAGACAAAATCCACTGACAGTTTAGCCGCTGCCTCACAAATCAATTTCAAACATTCGTTAAGAGACGTAAATGCATGCGCACTATACGCAGACACTTGACTTTTTCAGGACAAAATCATGAATCAAAATAAAAAAAGAAATTGTTATGGAATGTTACAAAACTAGGGCTATTTGTGATTAAAAAGGCTCTAAAAAGAAAAAAAAACTAGAATTAGTCTAAAAGAAATAAAAAGTGGAACTCACATGCCCAATCACTATTGTAGATATGATTAAGCAGAGAAGAGCGATATGAATGCTCATTGAAGTTAATTAGCTGATTGTTTCCAATTTTAGACTTCAATACTAGAAGAAGTGATAGTGGACCACGGGCTGATAACGGCCGACTTCGTCACCGGTCCCTGCCCACTCTCACGGACTGAAAACGCGTTCTCTCGTAAGTGAACTCCTGCATGCCAGGGAAGTGTGACCGGTGAAAGGTTGAGGTAGAAGAAATATGGCCTGCCGATACGGTTGGAAACTTTGGTGGGAAAGTATGAAGCTCAAACGTCACCAAATATAAATAGATTGACATTCTGAATACTCTGTATGATCTGATGCATCTCTTTCATCCAGGGTGGTTTCAGAAAAAAGCCCAGAAGAAGTTATACCTCGACAAAAACCGACATAGTAGAACAGAAAGGAGTTTCAGGAGAGCTAACAGCAAGGAAACCAGAACTGTTTAAAGTCTCCACAGAAACTTTCAGATGGAACAATCGGTTCTGTACATTTCGTCAATGAACTAGAAGAAATATGAGTGGGAAAATATTCGCTGGGACATTGTCTCAGCTGTGGAGACGAGCGGATTGAATCGATAACCTTCATCAAGGTTGATTGATACGCGTAATAGATACTAGCAACAAAACACACACCCACCCATACCACTGACCAACAATACAAGAAATAGAAGTCGAAATTGCAATAAGAAAGTGATCCTTGCATCCAAGACCACTGTTCCTTGAAAAAGTGGAATTTTTTTCATCAGGTTAGTGTCGCGGAAGCGTCCCGGCAATTAAAAAACTTCAATTTTTCTAATGACAAGTAGTATTCGGCAAATATATGTACTGCCCTTTGTAAACTTCATGTTGCCTTTCATCTGGCAACGTTATCTTTCAATTTTTCGGACTCACGGCTATGTATGTCGTCTTGATATATAGAAGTTAAATGAACAAATAAACTTATAAATGCCGCTTTTGCAAAAGTCTAGGAGTTGAAAAGGTCGAAAAAAAAAGATCTCAGGTTGGTTTTGGTTATGCAACTTCATATCATGCAAATTAAAAAAATTAAAATAAAAATAAAATATTGTTTAGAAAATCGGATAGTGACACATCAGATTGTTGTCCTTTAGTGTCCATGTGCGACTGTCTATGAATCTCCGCATGTTTCTTTTCAGTTTTGTGGTTTAGTGGTAGTGGGCTACGAAGTCAGGTAAATTCGGTGGGTGTACCAGGTGAGCTTCGCCAAAATGAATTGCGTAGCTGCTGCATGAAAAGCACAGTTCACGATGAAAATGGCTCTTGAGATATCCCCCTAGAATGAATTTGTGCCCCCTCGTATACTACATGTGAAACGCTGCCAGGTTGAGAAACGGCCTAGATAAGGCTTTATTAAGGCTCAAATTTGTCCCGTCAGTATCCTTGGACAAGTTTCACCGGTATTGTACCATGAAGCATTCACAAGCGAACCCATGTAAAACTTCAGGCAACTTGTCATGACCAATAGCGACGATGAAAGATAGCTTTGTACAATTCTTGCTTGAGGTAATCTCGTCCAAATTCCCCTTCTCCCCTTTGTCCGAATTGACATCACTGCGTAGCTGCAGGCTAGCATTTCTATCTTGAACCAATTTTCAGGTTTTGGCAAATGCCACGTTCCCCCATTCAAGCCACAGCAAATTCCTCTAGGGTATATGTGAATAGCACATTCCTCGTAACAGTGACCTGTTCAACTCTTCACTTATCACTGTCACTCCCCAGTATCGCCCTTTTCGAAGCGCGTTGAGCGAAACAAACAGCATGTTCATTCTGTTTTCGTAGGTCTCTAGAGTTGATCAAAGCAAGGACAGCTATGTCGAAAAGATGAGCAAGTTGCCGTATGTTCTTCGCCTTTTCCACTTCTCCCCTGATATCCTTAATGACACAGTTCACGATAAAAATGTTTCCTGAGTTTTTTCCCTAGGAATACCCAGCGGCCCTCGAGGATAACAGTAGGGACGCTTTCGGGTCTCAAAACTCAACAGCTAGGGCACAGTGGAAGCCCCGTTACCTGATCGCCAGGATGCCCCGTCACTTGGCTGATAATGTGTCAGACGAGTGTCGAGGCGATAGAGATTGCAACATTCGCTCCAGGACCAACACATTCAGCACGCAATCAGCTGATCGCCTAGCAATGAGGCGAAATTTTTCTCCTTCTCTATTATTCCCTGTTATTTTTTTTTGCTGCTGCGATCCTTATTCTAATTTTCCACCTCAGAAGGCTGAAAAAAGCGAAGTATTTTTGCTGTCACTGGGATTTTTTGTTAACTCATGCTTATGAGTGAATGAATTTTAGAGGGATTTTTGCTTTCTGTAGTCAGCTATTCGCACCAGGACCCACACGGACGCAATGACACATATTGTATTACTCGTCGAAACACCACATTCTTCTTCATTTTTCGGGACTCATTCTTGCTCAACCCTCACCTCTTTTGTAGGCACGGTTCACGATAAAAATGGCCTCTGAATTTTCCACATAGCATGAAATCAAAGGCCCTCTAACACCATATATAGAGGTGTGAGGGTTAAAAGCTCCTGAGTAGGGCACAGTAGGGGGCCAGAGATTGTATCGTGAGAAAGCCACACCCACAGCGGACGAGTCTCAACGGTAATTTAGAGGATGCACTATCTCAAAAGGCTCCGGATGTACAAACAACTTGTCAAGACCCTTAGCGACAGTGGAAGGCAGTTTAAGACAATTCTGAGTTGATTTAGCCAGCTCTTTGCGCAAGAGTAGCAAGTGAAAACACCTCCGAATATCCGATCCATGCTTCTTCGTCATGGTAAATGCCACTACTTTTGGGAGGCCTTATTTTTGCTTTCTTCGCCACCGATGCTCCACATTACATCAACACTTCCTATTT